GAATATGGCCAAGGCTGTTGGTCAAAATGGAAAGGTTGTTGCCTTTGAGCCGCAAAAGAAGCTATATGCTGAACAAACCCATAATTTGAAACTAAACAATCTTCAAAGCATTGTTGAGCTGAGGCGCCAAGTTCTGGGAGAATGTGAAAAGATAATTCAGATGAACCCTAGGAATCCAACAAACGAAGGAAACTTGGCCATTGGCAATGGCGGAGACTCTGCACAGATGATCACGCTCGATTCTTTGTTGCTTGAAAATGTCTCTTTCATTAAGATAGATGTCGAGGGATACGAGGCTAATGTTCTTAGAGGTGCAAAAGAAACCATCGCCAAAAACAGACCCACGATTATTCTGGAAAACTGGCCATTTGCAGCCGGCTACCACAGGGTTTTTGAGATATTGGAGGACTATGGCTATTCGTACACAAAATTCAGCCATTGTGATTATTTGGCAGTTCCAAAAGACATAGCCAACTAGATGTAAATAGAAGCCAAATAAATCGTTGCTTACAAAGAGACATACGGTGTGCTTGAGGTACGTTATGGGTGTCGATATCCTTTAACCAGCTGTAAAATATGTCTTTAGCGCTCAAGTAGCAATATTAGTGGCATCGTCAACTGATCTCGATGGTGTTATCAAATGTGAGCATTTAATTAAAGAAATCGGCTTTAACCCCAGCAAAATCGCATCGATTTGATTAAACTTGCAAAATCTTTCCTGTGAACTGCACCAGATACATCTTTGATCAACACCAGGGGCTAGCTAGCAGAAACTGCTTGTAACCCTAGCCCAATTTAAATGTAAACAATTCCATTTTGACGAGCTGGGGTTACGGCAGCCATATGACATATTCAGCCAAGAATTTATTTGCTAACCCCCAATTCCATGTTCCAATGTTCGCGGCCTCTTGCCATCGCATCTTCCCTATTTAATGCCATTCGACATCCAGCAGACGGATCTTCGGTTGCAACCCTCGGAGAATTACTCGGAAATACTGCTTCTACCCATTTACTTTTGAAAATGTTTACTACCGAGGATGGGCGAAAAATCATGAAAGAACGTCCCTTTATTTCAGCCAACAGCATCAATGAAAAAGCATTAAATTGTGCGCGTGGCTCGCTTGGCTACGAATATTTTTCTTTCATGAGCGAAAACAATATTTCGGCCGACTCTCGTGCGCCCATACGTTGGATGGATTCCAATGATCCTCGTTCATATGTGATTCTTAGGTACAGGCAAGTCCACGACTTTTGGCACGTTTTAGCGGGGAACATCCCTATTTCCGTTGTTGGTGAGCTCTCTCTAAAATGGATGGAGTTTTTCCAGACAGGGCTCCCCATGACTCTTTTGGCAGGCGGCTTTGCCCCCATGTTCCTTCTTGATGCCAACTCCAGATCCTTTGTCCTGAATGTTGCATTTCCATGGGCCATCCGCAATGCGCCCCCGCATGCAAGCTTTTTATTGGGTGTGTATTTTGAAAAGTATCTGCATATCCAAGTTTCCGAGCTTCGTCAAAAATTAGGAATTATCCCATTTCCAATTGACAGGCTGCCGGTCAGTTAATTAAATTTTGTATATTTTTCAATTTGAAATGTCTGGTGCAATGATTTCGGCATCCTCAAAGTCGCCCTCAATAGAGTCGCTCGGAAAGCCTGTAGCTGCAATCATAGATAGCTTCTTAAAATCTAGAATCCATGCATTGACAAATTCCAAGGACTTTCCAGGCATGCAGCCTGTTTCTCTTGATCGAGAGAACGTCGGTCAGCTTCTGTGTGCAGATTATCACGTTTGCGAAAAAAGTGACGGAGTCAGGGTGCTGGGATTGATGGTTCAAAAATCTGCGTCGCTCAATACACCTTCTACCCCCTCTTTCTTTATCACAGATAGGAAGTACGAGTTTAGGGAGGTTGAAGGGATGGCTTTTCCAAACACAGACGCTGGAGACTCGTTCCACAACGAGACTATTGTTGAT